ATTTAAAGAATTTTTTATTTTTATATTAATTTTTATTATAATATATTTTTTATTATAATAATTTATATTTTTTATTTTTTACTTAGGATAATATATTTTTTATTTGAAATAAATATTATAATAATATATTTTGTGGGTAGTAGTGGAATATTTTAAAAAACCATAAAGGTATGATAGTCCAAAAATTTATCTCCCCTTCAAAAATCCCCAATTTGGAGGAGAGCTAAAATGGGAGGAAGGGGGAGAAGAGGGAACATTTTGGCTTTCCTTCCCTCAAAAATTTTTAACCAAATGAGTGGAGAGGCTCATTTTCCCTTCCCCACCCTCTCCTCCAACCAAACACACCCTTAAGAGGGGCATAGGGCGATGATAGCAGAAGATCTTATAGAGATTTAGTTTTGAAGGGGTGGGGAATAAAGATGAAGGATGGAGCTTGTTTGTTTAGATGAAATCATATGATAGTGTAGATACAGGCTTTGGATATCTGCAAGATAATCTGGAAGCATTCTGATTGATAGATCTGATCCGATGAGGCTGAATTTCTTATTGTTGAGTGAAGAGCACCAGAGGCTATGTGGTTTATTTGTTCAGACTCTGGTTGTGAAGCTGATTAGGAAGTCGACCACCCTAGCTGAGATGAAAAGTTTACCACGGCTATGGGGAAAAAGGGGGGGAGTAAAGGTCTCAGATGTGGAGGACTATGGATCTCATTTGACTTGTATTTGAATGTTACACGATGGACGCCAGAGTTTGAGTCAGAGCTGGAAGAGATTACAAAGATTGTGATGTGGGTGCGATTACCGGATATTTCTTTGAAATACTTTGATAAAAAATTGTTATGAAATGTTGATAGTATGATTGGGACAGTTCTGAATGTTTACACAAATACAACTTTAAGGGTGAGGGGAATGTATGCTAGAATAGGTGTTGAAATTGATCTTACTAAACCCCTAGTGCCACAATATGCTATCAAGGGGGTAACTAAACAGATTGAGTACGAAAGTATGGGCCTCTTGTGTTTGGGATGTGGAAGATTTGGTCATATGAAAGAGCAATGTAGAGAAGAATGAATCAAATACGAAGGAGAATACTCAGTCTATGCAAGAGCATACAAGGAACCAAGCTGTTGAAGGAGGTGGAGAGGGTCCTAGGAAGGGGGTACAAAGAGCAAGATGGGGAGGAAATGGGCAGAGCAAGGAAATGAAGGTTGGAGGGAAGAGTTTGTTACGCAACTGAGGCTGATCTCCCTTTGCAAGGTGGTGTATAAGGTTGTGTCAAAAATTGCTGTGAGTAGACTCAAGCCTTTAATGAGTAAGATGGTCTCTCTCTTCCAAATTAGTTTTGTGCCAGGGAGGTGTAGTCTAGAAAACATAATCATTGCTAAAGATATCTCCCACACAATGAATAAGATGAGTGGGGGTAGAGATTTGATGGCAATTAAAATAGACTTGGAGAAGGTTTATGATAGATTGAGTTGGAAGTTTTTGGTGAGTTTTGGAGGAAGTAGGGGTGACAGGAAAAATAATTGAGGTTATTGAAGCTTGTGTAAACTCGGCTACTTTTCAAGTTTGATGGAATGGAACAAAATCATCATAAACTCGGCTACTTTATCTCCTTGCTTTTTTGTTTTTTTGTATGGAAAAGTTATATAATTACTAATGCAGTTGAAGAGAAAAATTGGAAGCCAATGAGATTGGAGAGAAGGAAGTACCAATTTCACACCTTATATTTGCAGATGATTTACTGTTCTACTACAAGGCGAATAAGAAGTAGATTGGTGTGGTTTTAAATTGCCTTAATATTTTGGTGATATAACAAGGCAAAAGGTGAACCCACTGAAGACAACAATTTGTTTTTCAAAGAATGTTAGTCCTCCTAAAGAGAAGGAATTGACAGAGATATGTGGGTTTAAAATGTGGAGGATATAGGAAGATACTTGGGTGCGTATGTGAAGGAGGGAAGGATTTTAAAGCAGAATTTTAGGCTTTTAATTGATAAGGTGCAAAAAAAGTTGAGCAGATAGAAGAGGAATTGCTTATCACGGGTGGGCAAGTTAGTACTAGTGCAATTAGTAACTCAGCAAATGCCTGTTGCATGAGAACATGCCACAGGGTGTGTGCTAGCAGATTGGAAAGTTGCAGACGGAGTTTGTTTGGGGAGAAGAGGGTGGAAGAAGGAAGGTTCATCCAATAGGGTGGAAGAAAGTTTGTTTACCAAAAGAAGTAGGTGGGTATGGCTTGAAGGATTTGAAAATAAAGAATGATTCTCCTTTATGTAATGTAGGGTGGGAAATGATTACAAAACCGGATAAATTAGTGTCAAGAGTGCATGATGCTAAATATGGAATAAAGGCTTGTTTGCTGAAAGAATGTACAGTGAAGCAGGGGGACTCTACACTTTGGAAAAAAATTGGGGGAATTGTGGGATGGGATGGTAGAAAATGTAGGGAGGGAGGTCAGAGGTTAGAAGAGTGTCAGATTTTGGCAAGATAAGTGGCTTACAAAAGAGGTTGTTTTTGGAGAGAGTGTAGGGTGGCGATAAGAGCGGAGATTAAAAAACTCACTGTGAGTGGTTATGTAGATGGAGATGGTAATTAGATGCTGGGAGACCTGTGCAACTTGCTGCCTAAGGAGCTCTTGGTATGGACTTAGGCATTCTCCCTCCTATGTTAAGTACAAGGTTTCTGATACGTATAATTTCCTGAAGGGTTTTGATAGTTTGAATGGAAACAAATTGTGGAGTTTGATTTGGGATTGAAAAGATCCTAGATGTGTGCAAATTTTCTTATGTGTAGTGGCGAATAGTAGTTTGTATACTGTAAAAAGGCGCAGGATTTTGAAAACTTTTCCCATATGTTTGATTTGTAAAATGGAGGAAGACGATATTTTACATGTTTTGCGTGACTGTTCAATTGCTAAGCATTTCAGAATTGATATGTTTAGGGGGAAGAGGATGGAATGATTTTCTTTGACCTACCTCTTGATGTTTGGTTGATAGAGAACGTCTAGAAAAAAGGGTTGTGGGCATGTATGGGATTTGTTGTGAGTATACAGATGCTTTGGCGAAGGAGGAATGGTTGTTTGTTTGGGCAAGATTTTGCAGGCCGAGCAGACTGGTAGATGCGGTATATCAGTTTGTTAGAGGTCAGGAAAGCTATTGAGGTTAAGGAGATGAAGAGAAGTGGCAACTATGTGCTTGTGCAGTGGGAGAAACCTAAAGAAGTTTGTATTAAGCTCAATATTGATGGTGCAACTGTGGGGAGGAATAAGGTAGCTGGCTGTGGCGGGGTGTTTAGGGACCATGAGGGGAATTGGTTGGGAGGCTTTTTCAGAAGAGTAGGAAGATGTAGTGGGGAAGATGCTGAGATGTGTGATTTGCTCCCTTGCACTGAATTTCTACAGAAGTTTAGGGGAAGGAAAGTGATCATTGGATCTGACTCTTTGTTGGTCACAATGAAGATGAAGGATATGCTTTTCAATGGAGAAGGCAACAGTAAGTTCATGGGTAAGGTGAGCAAGATGTTGAATGATGGATGGAAATTGAAGATTAAGCATGTCTTTAGGGAAGGTAACTCCGGGGCAGATTGGTTAGCAAAGAAGAGTCCAAGTCACACCTGGACTCAAGTTCGTTGGAAAATCCGCCGGAAGACTGTTGAATGGCTGGATAGGGATCGCTTGGGCAGGCCTTGCCATCGTTCTTTCCATTTCAACCAGTCTGGATTCTTGTCCCGTTCTTTAGCGGGGAAAAAGGGCCTGAACGGAGCTTACATGGAGCTTGGTAAGAATCAAAAACCATTAATGGTTGAAGGATAAAGTTAAAGCCCAAAAAAAAAATTGCAGATGTATGTGTTGGGCTTTAAGAATTTTGCCAACACCCAAGCGCCCCCCCAAAAAAAAAGCACAAAAAGGGATTCATTGGCTTTGCTCAGGTTGAATTAGGTAAAGAAAGACTGTAGGAGTAATACAAATATTATTCAATCAACTGGTTCCCGCATAACCAAGAGAATATTGCTCGCATGTATAGATAATCTTCACAATCATACGAGCTAGCAGATACATGAACGAGAATAAATTATCCATTATTACTCCAAATACGAATAAACTCCAGCATTTTAGAGATCAAAGAGAAGCGACCATCATAGTCAAGATTCAGTCTCATGTTATGCCTTCTACAAAATGATTTCCCACGGGAAAGGGGAAACCACGCGTGCATATCAAGAAGCCCGTCGGTTTTTTTTTTTTTTTTCCTTTCCTCTACATTTTCCAATTGGGTTAAATTGCTGCAAACTTACAGTTGAAACCTCTAATTACACTTTCCCATTCAATTCTAAGAAAAGTCCATATGTAGATATCGCCAATGTGCACTATAAATAATATGAAGTAATATAATAATACCAAGGTACTGAAGCAGAATTCTAGACACACAAGAATTGAAAATCTATCCACAAAATCCAGCTATAGGCTCTGTTACAATTTCAGCTGCTGATATAAAGTGTACTAAAAGAAAAACCCAAACTCTAAAAGACCCGAAAATCTTTTTACTAGTTGAAATTATTAACATTTAATCTTGGGAGATCTTATAGATACATTGGCTTATACATCAAAGCGGCAAATGAAGTAGACAATTCGGATGAGATGAAGCAGTGCCAGTGCCAGGAAGGATAGCGCAAGAAAGAATTGTGTCCATATCAGGGTTCTTTCAAAATTCGGGAGAAAGGTGGTATTTCACAAATACACAAGTATATACGCACCAGTGGTTTAAAGGAGTAAGATGGTTAGACTACGAAAATGTGAACAGTACAAGAGAAACACTTTAAACAATTAAAAAAAAAAAAAAAACAGTGCTCAATCAAATACAAACCTGATGAGGATGATCTCAAGCAAGTCCTAGAATATAAATTTTTGTGGCCAATCTCTACTTTTTGCTAAAAGCAGGAAATTGGCTACCTCTCCTCAAATGAAATCATGACAACAAATTTCAAACATATACAACACTTGAAGTAACATCAAAGACTCTATTAGATAAAACCATAAACTAGACTGGACCATTCCCTATCTCTTTCTTCACTGATCCTTATGCCAGTGCATGGGATACAAACTATTGGGAGACTGATATAACCACAATTATTTTGAAACATCATGCATGCTAGTTTCTATTATTGAATGGGAGTACATCAAACATATAGTGGAAAAGTGGGTAGCTGTAATTCCTTATGACAAATGTTTACATTACAAACAAAAACAACTCATTTGTAAAAGCAACAAAAGGGAGTTAAAGAATACCACAGATGCCGTTAACTCAGCTAGGGGAAACAGAAATTTCACTTAATTGCTTCTGCCTAAGATATTGGTGCAGTATGGTAAGCCTTGCTGTTTCAAACGCAAAATAACCCAGTGCTGAAAAGCAAGCACTATGAAGAACTCGAGGACCCATCCCTCTAGTCAATCCAACCCAACCTTCTTCCTTCAAAATGTGCTTCACAGTAGATGAAACTCCACCGTAAATAGCAGGAGAAACTTTATTCATAGCTTCCCCATGAACTTGAGTCATCAATCTGGTCTTGACCACATCAAGTGGTGTAGTGAGAGAAGCTGATATTGCCCCAGCAAGTGCCCCACACATGACACTCTGAAATGGCTCCAAATGATTCTTCTTCGTCGTACGCAATACTGCGGCTTTTAAATACTCAAATGATGAATAACTCAAAACCCCTGCAGGCAAATTTCTCAATAATGTAGCAGAGTACCCTGCATAAAGACCTAATATACCATCTTTCTCCAAAATTTTTAACAAAACCTCCCAAGACCTGCCTTTAGCCCCAGCTTGCATTCGCTGAGTAATCAACTCCTTTGGAACCATTATTGCAGAAGACACAATATTGCCCATTGCGCCAGCCGTTGGTGGAATCAGAACCAAAGGGTATTTCTCAAATCTCGACAAGAACGACTTTCCAAACTCACAAGTACCAAAATACACCGCCGACGAAGCCGTGGAACCAACAATCACCGCCGAAACACCACTGTAAAACCCTAGAATCCCCTTTGTTTGGAAGGTCTTAACAATGGCATCGAAAGCATTCTTATAAATCTCCGACGCACCTTTGGTTTGCATCTTCGTCTTGATGGTATCTAGCGGGTGCAGACAGACGTAGGTAAATGCTCCAGCAATGCCGCCGCCAGCTGCGCCGATAAGGGCTCGTTCGAAAACCGAGAGATTCTTCATTAGCGTTTGAACCTTGGGGCTGTTTCTTGATGTGGGTTTTAGAAATCTCTGGGATGTAGGCGTCGCGTGGGTCTGAGTAGCCATGGAGGTCGAAGCAAACGTGAGTTTGGGAATGCGCCCGTCGCCAAATTCGAATCCGTGTGCGTCATTGGAGGTGCGAGTGATTGTGTTGAAGTGGTTTAAGATGCCAGTGAAGTCAGTGAGACTTGAAGAATCACAGAGATTCGGGGATGGAAGACCAAGAGAAGCCGAGATGCTGGCCTCCATTCCTACTATCCTATTGCCTCGCCGCTCAATCGCTCAGCAGTCAGCAACAGGCGAATCCGAGGAGAAAGGCAAAATGGGATTCTTATTTTTCTCTATTATTTAAAAAATGAGCACCTATCATTTATCAACTACCTTTCTTTTCATGTTCAGTGTTTTTTCTTGGCAGAAACAAGTATTTATACTCATCTCATCTTATTTATAAATTATTGTTAACATATTTTACACAGACTTAAAAAAAAAATTTAATTAACTTTCATTTAAAATTCAATAACTGTCATATTTTATCCATATTTAATATATATTATACCCAATAAAAATAAAGTTAATACAATAATAAATAAAGAGTAAAATTGTACATTCAAATCAAAAGTTTCTCTCTCTGCCCTACAAACAGGATCAAAAAATTTCTTCTCTTTGTACCCTATAAACAGGATGAGAGGAGAAACATCCTTCCTTAAAACTCTTTTAGTATGCTTTTAGAAACGTTACAGTTCAAACAGTTTACGAAACAAGCCTGTAAATTGAAATTTTAAAATTTGTTTCCCGGGTTACTAATCACTAGTAAATTTCATATTTTTAGTCAAACTTTAAAAATTCATAACTAATTATAGAAAAATCGTATTGAGTTGGTTTAAAATTCTATTTAAAACTCCTTCAATTCTCTACAGGGAAAAAATATTTTATGGTTTATTTCCTTGCTTAATTCATACAGTTAATTGTGTGAATTTTCCTATTCATTTGATAAAGACTGTACTTTCCAGTTACTCTGTCTTAATTTTGAGCAATTATAACTCTTAGGACACACATCCATTTTAAGTAATCTACCACTTGCTTTAAAGCTTCGAATGTGTATTTTAAACATACCAAATTTCATAGGTAGATCCCATCGTTTGCCTCACTTTCACTTTATCACCATTTTGTGACTCATTTAGGAATAATTTATCCACGTCACTTGTATTAATAATTCATAATTATTTCTTTTCATGCATATTGTCATTCCATCAATGTACTAACCATTTTTATTTATCATTATATTTAACCTTGCATGCCATTAACATCATTTAGCATCACATAATATTAATGGCATATTCATATCATACATTGACATACAAATTATATAATATAATATAATATAATACATTTTTCTAAATTCTTTTCCTCTTTTCCTTGCTTCCACTTCATACATCATCTTGCTTGCTCATTATCATCTATTAGGGTTAGTTAAGGGAGAGTAAGATTTGAGAAAATCTCAACAGCAAACAGTTATCCATATGCATGCAATACTAATGCATGGTGAATAATATGCTTGGCTATACGCTTTCATACTTGTATGCTTATAAAATGACATGTTCTAATGCCCAACATTTCATTCACACATGGTCATGGAATATATAAGAAATAGAGCAACATTCAATCTTTCATAATCTAAATCATCATTAAGCGACATGAACATATAAGCACACATATCAAGCACATAATAAGGGCAAGTTTATTACCTTGTAACATTAAGCTTTCTCTTTGCTTCTTTTGCTTCCAACCATCAAAGTTGCTTGATCAACCTTCGCATTCATCTTTCTTGGGGTCTCATGGCCCTAGATGCATCAACACATCATTGCCATTTATTCATTAGTACTATGGTAACCAACAACATTAACACTTTGTTCTCTATGAATTATATTAGCTTCTAACTTTTAAGTTTGATTTCCAACATTTTTAAAATTAATCTCACATGCTATTCTCTCATAATTTTGCATGTAGAATTCATTTTTAAGATCAAAATTATCAAAATCCAAGTCCTTCCCCCAGAACCAACTTTGGCCAAATGTATAGGGTTTTAGAATTTAAAATTCTATTTTCAATTCTAATGCTTCCAAACTTGCTTTCTCACCTTTATCGTACACAATTTTCATTCTCAACATATTGGAAGCATCAAAATCATCAAAATCTAACCCTAACATGAACCCTAAGTCTGGCTAAAGTTATTCAAAGGTCAGGGAGAGGTTGGTTTTCTTGCAAATTTATCACAAAACAACTTCATTCTTGTTCCTTTCAGGCCTTCAAACATTATTTTAACATTAATTTCATCTTCTCTTAAATCTATCAATTTTGTGTAGCATGTTCCCTTGGGGTTTCAAGCTCCTAAAATCCAACAAAACCCATAACCAAGCCCAACAACAACAAAGGTAATAGAAACAATACTAAAAATTATGAACATACTTGTTTTGGAGCTTGATCTTGTATGGCTTCTGTTGATCTTGTTGGAAATTGTGCCCTAGGGGCCAATCATTATGTTATGAACATTGTTGATTTATGAATTTATTAATTACGTTATCATATTATTTGCATATTTACTGTGATGACTATCCTTGGATAAACTCATGATTTATCCTAAATGTCCCTGGTCAGTCATCTATGTGGGAGCAGAGATGAAATAAGACCAGTATGACTTTAAAAATATATAGAGATATAAATTAAAGTCATAGGCACATGTAAGAGTACAAGGTGTTGGACCGACTTGCTATGAGAGAGCTGCATGGGTTAAGTCATAAGCTTCTCTCATATACAAACCATGTCACTGTGCCCTTTGACTTGAGATCATCATGGATTCCTACATGAGAAACGCTCAGCTTTGACCTAGTCAAAAGTTACTTTTGACCGAGTGATCATAAAGACTATGTTCAGGCTTAGTGGTTTTTCATGCGGAGGAATGTGAATGGTCAAGATGGAATTTGTCCCTCACATTCGTAGAGAGATATTACTGGGCCCCTCAATGAGTGAGTCTGAGAAATGTATGGCCATACTATAATGGAAAGGTAGTTCCATTTCTATACTCAGACTACTCAGGGATCGAGAAAGTAACGGTCATGAATAGGAGGATGACGTTCTCCATGCCTCATCCATGACCAAAATGTCGTGTGACAAAAGGGACGTGATATGGTTGTATGAAAGGTTACATCGTTCAACGATCCTCATATGATTTGGGTAGTCGTGATGTCTTGCTAGAGACCGCTTACGACTTGTGTGTCATTATAGTTAATGGCTCACTGCCAACTTCATATGGACCTATAGGGTCGCACACAAAATAACCCAACACGAGTTATGATGTCCAGATTCATTGAATCTAAGATATGTCTAGATTCAATGAATAATATAGGGTGGACGTGTGTGTATATATATATAAAAATTCGTGTATATATATTACATAAATATAAGAGATATTAATTGTTAGATTTAATTTATAAGGATAAATTAGATCTATGTAAATTAATTCCGTCATATCTTTATTTTGAATTAAATAAATAGGTGAATTAAATCTGTGAGACGGATTTAATATAAGCCATATTTATTTAATTGTTCTCTTATCTGATTAGGCAATATTTGATATTGCATTAATTTCGAATTAATTAATTATCATTCATAATACTATAGCATCCTATATATTTGAGATTAGGAGCTAGGGTTTTAGTGAATGAGAGGGCGAAAGCTTGCAGATAAGAGACGGCCAAAGATAGAGAGAGGAGGACGATTCTTTTTGAAAAAAAACCCTAGACAGATAAAGAGGCGCTAGCATGCCGTTCGTGACTGGAGAGCTATTCGTGTGGATACCGGTAGAGGAAGTCGACCGAAGTTGTCGACTTCGAACGACAAAGGAGGCGAGCAGAGGCATCCTGAACAGTGAAATCACCGAGCCACCAAGAAATCGAACACCGAAGGTAATGCTTCTTACTACTTGACTTAAACACGATTGGTAGATCCGGGCAAGGGATTGAAATTTTAAGTTTATTTTCCGCTGCGCGTTTTTCAATTCCCTTCAGATCTTCTTCCCCTTTCTCACTTCATATTTTCAGCTTCTCCTCCCTTCTTCCTTGTGTGGTTAAAAAATCTTGGCCATGCGAGGAGAAGGCATATTTATAAAAATTTGCTTAAATCCTAGCCCTTAATCTTTTGTGTGTGTGGCTTGATCTTGGCCACTCACTTAATTTCTATGGCCATGTGTCCCTTAGCTTGTTGATTATTGCCACCTAACCCTCTTAGATATTTCCTTTATTCAATAGAAGTGCCACCTTATGAGACACATCAAATGCCACCTATTACACATGTAAAGAAAACTGATATTTTATTGTATAATTCCATTCTTCCAAACTTAACTCTTAACAAAATATAGTATTCTATTCATGTCCTCTCATCAAATTTGCTCTAAAATAAAGAGAAAAATAGGGAAAAATTCGTGCACAATCATACCCTTGGCTATTCCTCTAACTATTTGATGATTTTACGTCGTATCAGGTACTTTTTTTAGGTCTTGACTTACCTGATAACCTTGGGACATGCTCTGACACCTTTTTTAAATGACAATTAACTTCATGTGGCATTATATAACATGCCTAAAGAGAGAGTAATGCTCTTTCCTTATTCTTTTATTAAAACATTTAATAATATTTATTTTGAAGTAAAGTTAACCGAATTCTTTTTATTGGTCTATAACGCCGAGAATCTGCCTCTAGATACCAATACTATTTTTTTATTATGAGAAATTTCTATAATTTTTCTCAAGTCAAAAATCAATCCATAAACGGTTTATTTTGACTTTTCCTGAATAGTGTATAATAGGCTTTAACATTGTTAAAGCCAATCTCTTCACTTTCTAGAGGCAAAATTATTTTTAAAACCTGTGATAATTTCTTGAGTATTATTCTTGATTTTTCTCCAATTATTTGAGGCCTCCTCATATTTTAAATAATTTAATTTGACTAATATCTATAATTAGCCAAAACCCTGGGAGTTTCATCAATTTGCTCTAAGGGTATTTTCATCATTTTTAACCCCATAAGGGCCTTGGAACCTCATTTCCTTTTTTTGGGGATTTTCTAGAATTTTCGAGCGTACTTTCCATCACTACCCTTTCTGACCCGAAACTTTCTGAATTTACAATTAGGTCCCTGCTCAGGTTTAGCCTTAGGAGTCATCCCACTGAGGTTCTTAGCATAACCTTTGGCCTTTAATAATCTCTAGTTCCTATGCTCCAGTCCTCGAGCCTTTATCAGAGTCTCTAATTTGCCTGTCTTG